GTATTTTTTGGCACTGAATTTCTTGATATTATATTGTCCCTCTATCGTGCTGTAATGCACTATCTGTTTCACACAAAACATAAATACCTTTTCAAATCTCTCTGGGTTAGTCCCATCTAATTAGTCACTTTCTTTTTCAGTGGTTCAGCTGATAGTTCTTGACTGCAGGCAGAAGGTCTTTGATATTACGTATGTAACTAATCCACAGTAACCAACAGGGTCTACAGATAACTGATGGCAGACAAGAAACTGAAGAGTCTCTCTCACCCTGCCATGAGTGTGACCAACTGCAGATGATTTGGTGCTCTGGCTCTCATAGGAGTGAAGGAACTTATCTCCTGCATTATTCCAAAGGAACAATGATAATTGATGTCAGGTCTGGTCAAAAGTCAAAATTTCTGTTCTGCAAGATGCACATTCTGTTTCGAAATGGCTGATATAATTTTAGTAATCTGTCTTGGATCAGAGACTAAGCAGTTGAAGCTGTCTTTCAGCAGAAGTTTGTGGTGTTAATTTTCCTTTGAACATTTTTTTATTCTGATAAAACATAATTTCTGAACAACCCCAAAAAATTAACAGAAAATTGCAATCCACCTGTGACTGAGATGTACCTAAAATTTGTCATATCCCTAATCATCACTACAACAAGTTTTACAGGTTAGAACACAACTTGCACAATGGTGTCTGAAATTCCTGACGTCAGCTGCGGACATCTGCACAGGCAGATACCAGTAGTTTCCTATTACTGAGAATAGCCTGTAAGAAAAACAGGAAAATGTCAACAGGTTCCAGTTTTGCAACGCAGGATGACAAGGCAAGATTCACATAATCTATGATAAACCTTATTTTATATAGAAATAATTACTCTGTACACTCAGTTCAAATGTTTACAAATATAGATAATACCACAACTATTTAACTGTGCTGCAGTACTTGTCAAGCATAAAGTCCTAAAAATGCAATCCTGCTTTTAAGTATGCATGAGACAGAGTTTAGCCAGGCAAAATCCCATATGTGTTAGCAGAACTTAGCTTTAAAACAGTCAGGGATCAATCCCTAAAAGATTGCCTTGAAGATTCCCTGCAGTACAAAAATGGCCTGAGATCATTCAAAAAAAAAATCTGAGGTTGGTGGAACTTAGTAGGTTTTGGACCTCCTTTCTTATTAAGACCATTTCTGGTTGTTTTAATGTAGTATTTAATAATATATTGACCATTCTTTTTAACAATGATTGTTATTTACCACCGCTAAGAGCTATGGAGATTGGCTATTTTTTAGTGATTTTTCAAAATCGGTGTTCTAAAATCTGCAAATAAATTTCTTAAATCACTGACACAGATTTTAAAAAAGGCTGAGCATCCACTGCTTTCTCTGTAGTCTTCATTTTTATACCATATTTATCTTTTGGGTTATTTAAAGGTTTTTGGTCAATATTTGAACATTAGAATGATTTATATTTTAATTTGACATCCAACTCACATCTGTTTTAATATATGTACTGAATCAAAAAGTAAACATTTTTTGATTGTGCAAACCACACTGCTTCCTTATTATAACCCTTTCTCTTATCATAATTTCTCATGCCATTCTGAAGTCATATGGAATCAATAAAAGTTGGTTATAAAATGCTAATGTCTTTACTGTTCAAGCAGACGTATAAAAGCCCATATGCAAGTTAGAAATTCAGAAGAAATTCAAATCAGAGATCTTTTCTTAACAGCTTTTGTTGGCACCAGTAGCATTTTTTAAAAGAAGACAGCACCTTGCAAGGAGAAAAAAAAAGGCAAGCTTGAGCTGCAGTTATTGAGGCAACAATAGTAAAAGCAATCTTTAACAGAATACCAGTTTTTTTATATTATATTTATTTCTTTTAATTATAACAATAATAAGTTGCATGAATTATATATCACATATCTTTGTTATGTATACAATTCCATGGGAAAGTGACATCAATTTAGTACTGGTACAGAATTAGAAGCAGAAAACTTGAATTATTTATTTTGCCTGGGACCTGACCACTGGCACAAGTTATACTCTATTGCCAGTGGAGACTTTCTGTGTCCTACAGAGACTAAAACTAAGTATGTAAAAAAAGATCAATTTGGGTCTTCTGTGAGTCACTTGGAAACCTTCCAGATGAAAAGACATCATCGGTGTTGGACTTTCATTCCACATGAAATTTAAGGATAAGGACAAAGACAACCCCTCAGGTTTGTGAAATGGGGGCCTGAAGAGGGGGGTATGAGATGTTTCTTTTTTCCTTCTCTTTAAAAAAATTTATATAGAAAGACTATTTGCTTTTCAGCAGTACTTATATAGATTAGGATATGCTTGTTAATTCTGCCATACTAGTTGATAACACCTTTTAAATGTCAAAGAAGATCCAAATTGTGTTCTTTAAAATTAGGACTTGTTGGCAAGTGTTCCTGTGTCAATGGTAAAAGGTAATTTCCAGTAGGAAACCTCTAGGATACTCACAGATTTGGGAAGGGGAACAGGAGGAGGAGGAGACTTTCTAAACACAGTTACTCAATTGTGCCTTTTTTTTTTTTTTGTTTTACTCTACAGTGGGAGGTTTATACATATACAAAAGTTACACTGTTAGCCCATATATGAAAACACTCTGGCCTAGGGGTTTTTTCCCCCCTTGGAAAATCTTATTACTTTGATAGCAAAGGAGATTTCTTTCTGTGGATGTGCGACGTTGCAAGTGCAGCTACAGGTACATATTTCTAAGCATCATGCACAATTACAGGTGCCTGGCACTACAGTGGAAATCAATACACTTTTATGTGCTTGTAAGCAAGGAATTAATGGTAATGACCAATATTCAATGTCGGTAACACCTCAGTACACCTGAGGCAGCTCATACTCTAAATTCAGAAAACAGCAAATACCTATAACTGTTACTTCTGTGAAACAGACCTTTTTAAAACACTGTCATACTCTCTGGTGTAGAAGATGATTTCACATATATTTTACCTGAATTTTGAAACTGTGTCAAAGAGACATACAGATTTACTGTGACCAATGCACTCGTATGCATACCTAGAATTAAAACCTTCAATGACTTTGGGTTAACAGCAAAAAACTGTCAGGTTTTTTTTTCTCTTGATACTAAAAAATAATCTCATGTGAAAAGGTGTGAATAGGGAGAGAACTGCTTGCACAGTATAAAAATCTTTGAAATCTATTACTTGGCTGTCAGGAGGACTTTATTGATTAATAAAGTTTTTATCATACTTCATGCATTTGCAAGGCCGACTGGAGGACCCCTCTCTGGAGCATAAACGTTGCAACAGTTTCATTTCCATTTCAAACTCATGAGCAATGTTCAGAGCTCACAGTGGATGGAAGGAAATAAGCCTCAGAGGCAGAGTCAATGAAAGAAAAGCCAAAGTCAAGTTTTTAAGGTCTGTTCACATATATCATTCCTAGGGGTGGGAAAAAAGCATACATAGATAGCTTTGGTAGTTATTTTATTTTGCAAAAGCAATATCATCCCTGCATGTGTGAAGCCGACTTCGCAAGAGCAAATTGGGTTATGTTTACTGTGCTTATTAAGCTAAATTTAGATAATCTAAGTCCATATTTAAATAATGAAATAGGGCTGTAAGGTACAGGTATAAAAGTAAATAACCTCTGGTAAATGTTTAAAAGGTCAGCTGTACAAGTACATTGAGTTTGATACTACATCATTTGCTTTTCAGAGAGCCTGATCACACGATGCCCCACTATAATTGTAGCTGGAGCTCCTCAAAGCTAAAAGCATGCTGATCACTGCAAGGTGGTTTGTTGGTTTTATTCCTCCTGGCTTTTCAAGGACAGCAAATAAGAAGGAAACCCAGAAGAAATTAATGAAGGAAAGAGGAAAAAGTTATGTAGTAAGGGCCCCAGCAGCTGTTCAGTACATTAAATGTCTTCAGATAATGAAGCAAGGTCTGTTTTACAAAAATTTAAGACCATCTCTAAAATAATGGATTTTCAGTGCCTTGAAGTCCTGCTAATAGTCATCTGCATACAAACTCTTCATGTTCATTCCATGTAATGTTATCTTTGGCAGCTTTTTAGATTTTATGAACATTCCAACGTGACAAACTAAGGAGGTGGATTATACATTTTTCATCCAGGCATTAGGAGCACACAGGCAGAACTATCTTCGTTTTCTCTTGTCAGAGTGATGAAGTTATCTCACTTGATACAGCCAAGATAAGAAAGGGGTGTCCCCTTAGAATTGCTTTCAGTTGTAAAGAGATAATGCACTTCAGCTGTGTTTAAGCAGCACATGATTAAGTGTTTAATAGTTTGCTTTGAATCAGTAGTTTAAAATACGTTGAAACAGTAAAAATATTAAGTTGAAAATACGGCAGTTCAGATTTAAAATTAAAAGGAATTAGAAACAAAAAGGGATTGAAATCAGAATTTTAAGATTATGTCTATTACATGAAAATTTCCGTGTTCTGTCTCTGTATTTTAGAATCTCCCCGTTGTATTTTAAGAAGATTTTATATTTTCCTTGTGATGTTGCTGAAACATTATACAAGTAATCCAATACTCTATTGCCATAGTTACTTAATTTACATAGTTACTTAATTTACTACAGAATTGGTAAGCATATTCATAGGTGGGACAGCATTTAAAGAAATCCTTATGCTTTCCAAGCTGGAAGTTTATATTCCACAGGAATAAAAACAAAACCAAAAAAAACAAAACCCAAAAACAAACAAACAAAAAAAACCCTCAAGATACAATATGCAATGCTGGACTAAACAAAAGTTCCTTAAAACTCTATGACATTCATGGCCATACCATCAATGTTTTGCAGTAAATACTGTTGTTGTGGGTAAATATTGCACCATGTGTAACAAAGTGGTTACACTCCTCAAATGCTATTTAATGTACAATATTTTTAAAGGCATGCACTGCAAACAGTTAGCAGCAGAGTTAGAAAAATGTATGTCTTTCGTAAGCTGTGCTTGTCCACATCTCTGTGTACTTACCCCTAAATTGTTTTCAGGAATCCCTGCAGTTCTGCCTAGCCAAGGTAGAGTCCTGACAATGCCAGGGCAACTCAGCTGACCACCATAAATCTGCAAGCATTCACAAGCACGTTCTCAGTTTCCTCAGACCCTAAAAGTGCAGAGTGGCTTTTCTATTTCTCGCTAATTGTGGCATTCCTTGTAATAGAACCAGCAAAACTGATCCTGTTAATTGGTTTTTAGCTTTATCTCATTCACTGGAAGGCAGACAAGAATTTGAATACAGCTGAGGCTTTCAACAAGCTGGATAGCTTGGCAATTGTCACTGTTTTTCTGGAAGTTGATTACTGACATACCGAAAACATGTATCCTTCTCTTCCCTTTCCTTATCAAAGCTGCAGTGATGAGGACTAGAAAAAATATGCCTTTGTGTTAAGTAGGTGGAGATGATTGCCTCATCCTGATATAGCTAATATTTCCACCTTTGCCCATGCTTCTAGATGGATGTTTCACTCAAATGCCCATTTAAACCACAGACCCATCAAGAAGAGCTGTGCTTTAAAAAACGTGTGCTAGTGAGCTTGTGTTGTCTCATTTACTTTTGTAACAGGGAATGTTCACACTTTTTGTGTTTGTTTTCCACTTCAATTACAACAATGCAAATTTTCTCAGACAGTTTGAGCCATGTATGGCACTTCTGTTTTATCAATCAGAAAATTCTAGACCAGAACTCCAAGAAATCTTGAATCCATGCATGACATACTCAGACTTTCAAAACCAACTGGGGCAGGAAAAAGAATTCCTTATTATTACAGAACTTTTTATATTAAGGAACCATTATAATACAGTGTTATACATTATATGCTCCTAAAATATAATCACTCATCATTCACATTGATTAAAAGATACCAGCAAAATTTTTTCAAAGAGAATTTTAAGGATAGGCACATATGATCCATGCAATCAAATACTTCTGAACACTGTTTAAGTCATTAAGTCTTTTGCAATGCTCTGAAGTAACCAAGAGAGATTACAATGTAAAAACTGCAGCCTGAAATGAGCACTTCCCTCACCACCAATCTATTGCCTTCACCTCCCATTTTTATTTTGGAGAGCTACTGCTCCCATTTGACAAATCTAGAAGTTGGAATGTCTTAGAATCATAGAATCTTCGAATAGCTTGGGTTGGAAGGGATTTTAAAGATCATCTATTTCCAAACTGCCGTGGACAGGGACACCTTCCACTAGACCAGGTTGCTCAGAGCCCCATCCCCTTGAACACTTCCAAGGACATCCATTATGTCGCTGATATTCGTTGTGTTGGGCAACGTGTAACTTCTGCTTAATTTTCTCATAAATATATACATACACACACCAGTGTGGAAATCTAAGACTGAGCTGGGAAAAGCCCCAGACCAGAGACAGTGGGGCAGGGGAGCAGCCAAAACTCTGCCACGCAGCCATGGTGACCCAGGCCGGGCCCACTGCTGAATTCAGCTGCAGCTGAGCCTGACGGGCCCACCCTGTGGGCACCAGTGCTGGCTGTCAGCACCAGGTGAGACAGCTTCCTAAACACCATTTTTGACCTTCTGGTCGCAAAAGCATCAGCTCTTCACAGAAAACCTGGAGAAAACCTGGTGGCACAAGCACATGCTTTTCTGAGGCCACAGATTTGATGTGTGGTGGTGATCTGGCCTGCTCTTATTGCACTGGAGTCTTTAGCAAACTGCTCGTTAACTGCAGCTGAACAGGATAAAGAAGTGAATGTGGCCAAAAGACTGCCATAGTTAGTGTGGCATGACTAATGCAGTTAAATCTGAGCTGAATTTGGGACATTCAGCATCCAGAGAAATACAGTAACCTGAATCCCTAATGGTTGGACTTGATGGTCTTAGAAGACTTTTCCAGCCTAAATGATTCTGTCATGCAAGACATGCACTGCCAATACTTTTAGAAATGGTACCTCAGAGCATACCCTCTGCTGCCCTGCTGTAAGCTCGATCCGTCAGCTGGAGGGTGTTAACCAGGAGACAGCTGAGGCCTGAGGCAATCTGGTCATCTGGGCTGTCCCTTGAAACCAAACTGCTTCCTCATGATAAGGAGATACTAACCCTTGGTACCCCTGCAACGTGACATCAGGAAATGTTTAGATTTACTCTTTAAAAATGTGTTAGGACAGATTTGGTAGTAGTGGCGCAAAAAGCTGTCAGCAGCTGATGCAATAGACCCACCCCTGTCTTATCAGGAGGTTCCCCATGAGGAAGAGCTCCTTCTGTGTGTGTGATTTGGCTTCCCTGCACTCCTCAGGGGGGGCCAGATCTGCACATCCCCTCTGTCCCTCACCAAACTGTGTGTTCTTGCATTGATCAGCACCATTGTGAAGTGTGGTCTAATAGCCTCTCAAGACCTTTCATTCTTAATTATCTTCATGGAATCATAGAGGTTGTTTCTGCTACATATTTTGGAGCTATGGTCCCATGTATCCATTGTGTCTTCTGTCTGTAAAAATGCACATATTTAAGAGAAATGCCTGCAACAGCCACAGTCCAGCTATTCTGAGTGCTCTTAGCCCTTTAACAAGTCCTGTAGGATTAAGGTTAAGGCAGGATTTCCCAAGGCTGTCAGCCAACAATCTGGTGGTTTGCATTTTTTTTACATATCCCACAACAAAGTTTGTAATGTGAATTCTTTTTTTATTGGGTCAAGAGAGAGAAAGCCTCCAGGGAAAGCCTCCAGACAGCTTTAGATAACTATTGTAAAGGAAAGCTCTGCCAAGACCTACAGAATTGTTTCCTATTTCACTCATGGTACCCTGCTTTGCCTCCTAGGTTCCCCTGGCATGAACGTTGCTGTCCTATCCTGTGATCCTTTAGTTCTGCTTCCAAGCATTTGCTGTAGACATATTTCTTTCCTCAACTGACATTTTAACTCGAGAATTTAATTTGAGAATATCTGATTGATGAGAGAGAAGTGGAGAACAGATATTTGGCTCAAGCAGTTGCAAGACCAGACCCTTATGTACAGGAGATCAAGCTCTAGATATAGTTCTGAAGTCTCATTTCTGTGAAACTACAGCAAGTTGTGTCAGTTGTGAAAGGAACATAGCTGGAATTCAAATAAATTATTCAATAGAACAATATAATAGTTATAAAGGACTATGTATTAAAACTTAATTGTATTAAAGTCTGTGACATATATTGTGATCTTACTCATGTTCTTTTGTATATCTTTTGTATATCTGCAAACATACAGGGATATAGTTATTCCAGTGAGATGGTTACACTAATAGTAAGACTCAGCAGCTACCCCTGAGCTCTTGTTCCTAAAGGTTATGCTTTGAAATCTCTAAACACCATAACAGAAGTGATCCACAAGTCTGGAACTTCAGTTAACAAGGAGATCTTTTAGGTATTCAGTACTTCAAGGAAATGAAAAGCCACTTTTTAAATGGCTAAACAAGGAGTAAAGTATCTGTTTGAAAATACTGACATAATGTGACTCCTGCAAAGCCACAAAGAAAAGTGGTGCAAAGTCAGGAACAGAAATGAATTTCTGCACAAGGCTCCCATCTTAGACGTGGCTCAGTCCAGACTACCATTAAAACACAGCATTCTAAAAACACCTTTCAGTGCTCTCTCTAAAACAGATATGTGATCTGTCCTGGCATGTAGTCAATTCCCTCTACATATCCAGTTTTTCAGGCTGCAAACCCTTGCCCAAAGAGAAAGAAGAGGGGACGCCATTTCTAATCCTTGGTCTCACCCTCATGCTCTTGGCTTAGAGCACAGGACCAGTTGGTTCTAGTTTCACTGCATAGCTTACAAAGACAGTAGTTAAACAGCATTCATGCAAGTGCTGACTTCTGTGACACAAAAGTCACAAAAATTTCTGCTGCAAGACAACATGAATCACCACATGCAAGACAACAGTGAATGGAACAAGCATTAATTGTACCATTTTGCAAATAAGGAAAGGCACAAGAAAACATACAACAGGTTCCAGAAGATGCATTTTGGCACCTGCAATGAAACTTAGGATGAATGCCTGTGGCTAAATTCAGTAAAGAGCTCCAGAAAACAGACACCAGGTCTTCTCTCATTTATGAGACATCTAAATACTGCTGTTGTGCAGAAATGCCATGTGCAGTGGATACCTAAGTGTCCAGACAGACTGAGGACAAGGTGTCCCACAGCCACTCCAGGGAGATTCAGGAAGAAGAGAGGTGGTGGTGAAGCCCGTGTCCCACTGTTGTATGTGGCAGCCTAAGCACATGCCAGAAGTGTTAGCTGTGCCCATATTAACAGCAGGTGAAGGAAGGTTTTGGCCATGGTCAGGTGGAAGCTCCCCAGTGTGGTTTTGGCAAATGTCAGCTAGAATTCTCTGCAAGAGAGCCTAAATGCACTAAACCAAGTGAGATGTTGGTTTCCAATAGACTGTATGAAATAAAATATGCAGGAAGTTCAGCTGTACAAACTCAGGACATGTTATGGCCCTTATTCTTGGACTAGAAAGTGAGTCCTGGCTTGTTTTATTTACCTGAGAGGCACGGATAATAAGTTCAGTGCAAGGCACAGCAGACATGCTTGATTCCCCTCTGGAAAAGCAGGGGGTGTTGGTAGCTAGCGCATTAATTCAAGAAGTAGGTGGCTCTTCCCTTCTCAGCCTGAGGCATCCCTGTTGCCTCTGCAAGTGCCTTGATGGGCAGCCTTTCAACCAGCTACACTGTTTTTTAACAGGAATTCTTCACTGATGTAACTTGATAGCATTTACATGATGAGTGTGTTTTCATGCCTTGCTGTGAACTCAGAAAACAGTGTCGGCAAACAAGAATAAGCAACTAAATACAGTTCTTTTTAGCCATCTAGCCTCTCTTTTGGTTAGTGTTTTATTCTTTGGTTAGAGAGCTTTTCTGCTGTCAAATGAGAAAAGTAACACTTAGTGCCAGTAAGAAGCATTAGCTCATGTATGTTCAATGCCTACCACAGTGAGAGCGGTGGGTACTAGAAGTGAAGCACATCTTAGCACTCGAAGATGTGCAGGCTGAAGAGTTGCCCCACTGCCCAGGCTGGGATGGCTACTGATTTTAAAGAGCCTTAAGCCATAATAGAAAATAAGTGCACTACAGACATATAAATAACAACATGTAAAGCACAACTGAACAGGAATACTAAGAAGTTCCAAAAGATTAAATGAGCTTTCTCTGTTGGGCTGCAAATAATTATTTCATAAAAAAGCAGTTCAGTCAGTCATGTTTTCTTCCTGCATGAATTACTGGATGCAAGATGCAAGAGAAGGTCCTTAGTTGAATCTTTTTTTTTTAATTTCAACTCAGTTTAGCAGGAACTTAGTGTGAATGTCACTACAAGCACCTCTGAACACATTGGGATGCAATGCACCAGTCACTAGGGAAAAGTGATGCACAATCATGAGACTTCTGTATTATTTATGCAATATCACACCTAAGCAGCATGTTTACCCAAGTGCTGTTCAGCTCTGATATCCAGGGAGTTCCCACTCAGCTATGGCTGTACTGCAGGAGTAGATTACTAGATTACATCCTGATTGCCATAACCCAGAGGTGGGGGCCACGTAGGCTGTGTACACCCTATGTATGCTGACACGAAGGAGGAAATCCAGAGCAGCAAAAGTGTCAGATATGCAAATAAATTACACAAAGAGATGCAGCCCAGGACACAACTGGCTTTCTGGGCTGTGGATGCACATTGCCAACTCATGTTCAACCTCTCATCCACCAGGACCCCTAAATCATTCTCAGCCAGGCCGCTCTTGGTCTGTTCATCCCCAGCTTGTGTTGATGCCAAGGGCTGCCCTGACACAGGCGCAGCATCTTGCACTTGATCTTATTGAGCCTTGTGAAATTCCTGTGGGCCCATTTCTCCAGCTTCCTCAGGTCCCTCTGGGTAGCATCCTATCCTACAGCTGTGTCAGCTGCACCACTCAGCTTGGTGTCATTTTCAAACTTACTGAGGGTGCACTTGATTCCACTGTCTGTGTCATTGATGAAGACACTAAACAGTACTAGTCCCAGTTTAGACAAATGAGGGACACCACTTGTCACCGATGCCCATCAGGACATTGAGCCATTTACCAATAACCCCTGCATGATACGTGGACTATTTTTCATCCACTGAACAGTCCACCTATCCCATCAATCCCTGTCCAATTTAGATTGAAGGGTGTTGTGGGGGACTGTGTCCAAGTTCTTACAGAAGCCCAGGTAGATGACATTCATGGCTCCTCCCTAGTCCACTGACGTAGTCACTTCAGCCTAGAAGACCACTAGTTGAGTGAGGCAGGACTTGCCCTCAGTGAAGCCATGCTGGGCATCTCAAACTGCCTCCCTGTCCTCCCTGTGCCTTAGCATAGCTTCTAAGAGGATCTTAGAAGCTATGATCTTCCCACAACAGAAGTGAACCACAGTTCCTGGTGTGCTCCTTTCTATCCTTTTAAAAATGGGTATTTTTGCAATCTTTTTTCCAGACACCAGGGACTTCACCTGACTGATGTGACTTTTGAAATACCACAAAGCTCTTTTAATACACATTCACATTTACAGTGTGTTTGTGTGAACCAAGGAGCCTGCCTTGAGTCCTTACAGTGATATTTAAATATTTTGTAACTGAGAGAGACAGGTAGAGAAGCCCTTTCTGGAACCTCACACAGAGAGTGAGGCGACAGTGACAGCATGGCTGAAATGAGCACCACCATTCATCTGATTCAGAAAACTGAAGCAGAAACTGGTTTAAATATCTGGTGAGATTTTTTAAGAACTCCTCACTTTAAAAAAAACCTACAACTGGTTAATGATTATTACTTATGCTCAGCTGTATTCACTGTATGTGTGAATTTGTCCTTGCCCAGAGCTTGCAGCCAGAATTTAAGGTACTGGTATTATCTGCCCTGCTGCCCATGATTTGCCCAGTGACTTTCCGTGGGCTCAGGGACGTCAGCTAAACCAGAATGTGCCAGACTTGGTAGTGCTGACTTGGCCATGCACTGTCCAGGCTCCCAGCACACAAATGACTTTGATATGTTTTTCTTATGCTTGAGGTAACTTCCAGATAGGAGAAAACACAGAAAAATTCACCTTGCTCCTTCAGTGGTTGTTCCTGGCATGTGGCTTTAGGCATGTGTGAAACTATATAACAGCAATTGCTCATTGGAAAACAGGGGAGCATTTAAATGCACATATTCACCCAAATATGACCTTTTAAAGCTGAGTATCTTTTGTTAGATAAAAGTCAGAAAGTAATTTTTTTTTTTTTTTTTCAGAATCTTGTTTCACTTTCAAGAAAGGGAGTAAATCACTATCAACAGCACATCCTTAATATGTGAGTTATATTGCATACTCTTCTTCCACAGGCTGAGCCTTCAGGATGCTGTGGGTCTTATTCAGGATGTCATGTCAGTGGGCAGGTGACCATTGCTTTATTCACAGTGACATCTATTGGCAAAACCAATATGCAAAGGCCTCTTTTTCTACTAGAGTGCCTCTTCTATCTTTAGCCTTTTTCTTCAGCTTTGCCACATCTGACCACTCAGTTATTCCCAGTCAGTTCAGAAATTTAGATAACTTAATATAGCTTAGTCTTTTATCATCTTTTCTAACCCAATATCCCTGTTCTCAGTCAATCATTCATCTGTTTCTGTCAGGGGAAGATTTTATATCAATCATCAACACCATTTGCCAGTTTATTAAAAAAACCATAAACTATAAAATAAATTGAAGTTTCAACGGGACAAAAAAACAGAAATCAAGAAAAACCTCTCTGAAAAACACCAAGAATGACTGGGTTCACTTATTTCCTCAAAATGACCAAAGTGCTGCTAAAAAAGAAGAAATATTGAGGCCACATCTCTGTCTGTTATTCATACGACTGTAGAATGGAAAAGAACTAGAAGCAAAGTATTGGCATTTAAAGCTGATATTTCATTAAAATATTTACAAACCAGAGACAGAAAAAATAATTAAATCATATCTTCAGAAAAATACATATTTCTTCTACCTATTGCATGTAACTTAAATGATTTTCATCTGAAAAATGAAACTGTCAGTAGTATCTACAAATTATTCAAATTTATTTACCCAAGTATGTGGGTGAAATTTGATAAAATAGAAACAGACACTGGAACTGACAGTGCAGCACAACAGTTCTGTTAATCACAGGCAGAGAATCTTTGTTTTCACATGACAATCCAGTATTCTTTCAGAGACATTCCCTGTCCTCAAATTCTGCTGCACAGGAGGAGAGAGATAGATCACACAGGCAAATATTTCACCACAGTGAAACTTGGCATAAATGATGGACAGGTTGACAGAAATAGGAAATAAAATATTAATTTAGAAACATTTTGTTCCAGCATTTCAGTACTTTCTCCTGTCTAACAAAAACTGCAGATACACAGAGAAGGTCCTCTGTCACCGAGTCCATCTCTTCACAAATAAGAGATACAGAAATAACAGCATCTAAGAGACCAAATCTTTGTATTTCACATCTGTAAACAGAAAGCAAGATCAGATTGGGTGGGGGAACAAAAAAATATAACAGCTAGATCAAAAGTTAGTTGCAGTCCATCTAGTAGCAGAGTGATAAGGGAGATTGTCACCATGCTTTTTTAGACTAATTAATAGACAGTAAAAGAAATAAATTGCATCTCTTGAGCAAGATTCCTCTGGTATTCATACCTTCATGCTGAGCTTACAACCTGAAGGTGCTCCAAGTTTCTCAATTATTTGCAGGTTTTAACATCTGAAGATTTATCTTGTAATCTGCCCCTTGCCTATTTAAAGCTACAAGAATCTAAATCCAGATTTTTTTTCCATTAAGTTTATAGAAACTGTATAACATGTTGATCTATGTTATTTTATTCATATGCCATATTCCACTACTTTTTTTCTGAAGTTGAGATTTATTAATTGACTACCTGGGATTTTTTTTTCTTCAAATTAACTCTTAGAATTTCTTTAGGTCCCAGTTCATGTCTGGAAGAAAAAACATAGGTATATAGCAAATGGGTGTATGGTATCAAACAGATGTCTGGTGTATCTTCAACTCACTGTACTCCAGAAGGGAAGACTGCTACTTCTCAGGGTTTTTATTTGACATAAAGAATATTCCCAGCTGATGTTAAACATGTGCAACATTAAAAACATCATGAGAATGATGGCAAATGCTATATGCACAGCAGAGCAGACTGCTGACCTCCTGTGCCAAAAACAGCAGAGCTGACCCCAGGGCTCTGCTCTGGTTTATTTAATTCTGAGAATAAGTTTATGGGTGATCAACCTTCCGACAGTCCACAATTCTTGACAGCTACTATTTCCAGCAAATAGACTCTACGGTTTTTTGGTCACTGAGCATTTCATTCTTCTTAATATAAAGGCTCCAAGTGTGTCAGAGTTAAGAGTTGATCAAAGGGACGTGCAGCTGCAGGGGGCTGGGGGGTGGTGACATATTTCAGCCTCAGTTGCTGTAGAGGACAACATGGAGCTCACACTTGAGATAAGACTATCTGGGAGCACACAGTCTGAGAGTCAGTGTAGCTTAGGCACAGAGGAAATTAGTGACTGAGGGTGCAACCAAGTGCTCAGGGCTGAGACTGTGTCTAAATTCTCACTTTATAGTTGTAGGGGATGGATAACCTGAGAAGCTGCTTCCAAAGGATTTCAGGCAACTGAGCTTTTCTAGTCTTTTTCAGAGGTCACCACTTTAGCTAGGCCAATCTAACATGAACATGGTGTCTCCACAAAAGGGGAATTATTTGAACGATGACTTCCAACACTTATTAGCATAACTATGAAAATAGTCAATAGATAAAAAATTCACTATCAGAAACTGCAGAATTGATTGCATGTCTTACACTACCAAAAAAAAATTTATTTAGAACATAAAGGTATACCTAATACTACACTGCCCAAAGACAGACTTTAAATGATGGGTGACAATTTTTCCAAACCGAAAGCTGCAGCTGTTAATTATAAAAGTATAGCCTTCTCTATAGGCTCTTCAATAGAAAATACAAGACACATTCATAAAATCCATATTTTATTTTGATAAAATCCTTATAAATATAAAAGAATTGAATCAACTCCACTGTTTACAATATGTAAGAAATATGTAAAACTTGTTTATGATATGAAGCAGTAGCCTTATTCCTTTCTCTTCTGAGACAAACATATCCTTTGTATCCTTCTTGCAACTTGTAAACATTTTTTTCCACATTCTGTAGCTACTCACATAACAGGGAAACATATGAGATCAAATCCTAAGTCTAAAAAAGGAGTGAAAACATACAACACATTCCCATTTTTCTTTTTAGTGCTGCTAAAGGCCTTTTATTTCTCCAATGGTCTGTTTGTGATCTTTTCTTCAAAAAATACTCAAAAGGTGTTGGTAGGCCTTGTAGGATATAATAGCTATATTCTGGGGAGGAGAAAACAAAAAAGTCCACATATCTTAAACTAAGATAAAATATATATCTGTGTCTAATTTATTGTTCTAAAACAGCATATAAAGTCAATCCTGATTGTGATTTCCCTCAGGTTTGTTCATCTAAGTTCAAATGACCCATTGAGGTAAAAGGCAGAGCATATAAAACCTACTTTAAAATGAATTCAAGGAGAGCAGTCATGGAAGATGAATTTGTCAGAAGTACTACAGTGATTGGTGTTAGTTGCTGCCAGTAAAACCTCTAGCTGCCTCTTTCAGGTATCAGGGGGTTTCAATATGTAATTCTCAGAGCTTAGCTCAGAGTAAATCTAATTCTATCCTAAGGTACATCCTATGGAATGTTCAGTAATAAAAATATTTGGTGTAAAACCCCCAATTATATTCAGATTAAAAAAGCTCCTGAGAGAAACACAGGCTCAAGTCAACTCATAAAGCCAGACGTTTCAATATATTGCTATTGAGGGCTCAGCTTTTCATTAGATGTTGACTTGATTCCAATATCTTTGGCTCTCTGACTATTCTCTTTGGTCTTGGAATATAAGTGTAATCACTGAAGTTCAGCTATGAGAGCAGAACATCAGCCAGCACCTTGAGACATTCTATACCTGGGTAATACTGTGCTCCACAGTGAGATGAGAGGCAAGCAGCACATGGTTCACACTGCAGTGTCCAACAGTCTGGAACAACAGCTACCCCTGCCTCTTGATTTTAAGTCACAAAGTCTGACACTACATGGATATAGTGTAATAATCCCTTATTTTTCAGCCAATGCAACAAACAGGATTTAGGAAGAAACAGCTTCCTCTATGCCCTTTCACCTTGCAGTTTTCAGGTTTCAGGACAATTTCATCTTGTCACATTGTGAAATTCAGGAATACCTATTCTACCTGACATGATCTTGCAATATACAAAATCCTCACTATTTGCTTTAAAAAAAGAAAAAAATCAATCAGTAGATGATTACTGCTATGAAGCAGCCAGAATAACAGGCTCATGTAAATATCTGTTTTACTTAAATGTTGCTAGTCATTACTGCTTTTTGTAGGAAAGTAATCATGGTATTGCAAAAGTCAGCAGTGAAATTACATCATCCTTGAAATATTTTTTCCTTGAGAACTGCAGTGTGAGGTTTATAAAGAAGCTAAATATTATGTTAGAGACCAGAAGAATAATCCCAGAATATCCTGTACTGTCAATAATACCAGGGATCCTGTTCAGTAATTTGGTGACAAAATCTGGGCAACTCCTTCACCACGTTTGACCCTTATGATTAGCAGTGACCTCTGTGTAGGCAATGCTGATGGCTCACTGCTTCCAAGCCAATGCATTCAAACCCAGTCAGACCTGTTAACATCAATGACCCTGTGACATCTCCAGATATACCTGTGAGAACTGACTGCATGGTAAACTACTAAACTACTAAAAAACAACAGCTATTTGTTAAAACAACTCACAAAAAAAAACCCTAAAAAAAGAAAAGAAAAAAAATAAAATCACAAAGTATATTAACTATTAAAATGAATTCAGCCTTTGGTTTCAGAGGGAGGCTACTTTGGATTTACTCCTTTAATTCCTTCTGACTTCTCGTCCCCTTAGAGGCTGGGGAGGCCGGAAGTTTCTCAGCAAGCAGCAGGCAACCTCATCCTCAGCAGTGCTCAGGAGGCTGCGGAATTTGGCCAGCTGTAACCAAAAGAGACATAAAGTTCAGCAGATAAACCCTGATATCAGTAATAATGAAAAAGCATATAAATATTAAAGACGCTTTTCACTTTTTTTCCACCTGAAAGAACAGGCCTCTATTTTATTAAGTTATGAGGGGAATGGCAATTTCACCATTTCTATCCTTGTAAATGAAAAAGAATGACTACTGAGAAAATATCCCAAAATACATGTCAACATGAAGCTGTGTGTAAGGATTACTTGTTTCCTTTGTTCACACTTTGTCTTCCATAACGTGATTTAAACTGGGAGTGGGTGGGGGTGTGTTATATTTTTTTAGTTGGATTTCATATTTTGGAGATTGTGAAATGCTTTTCACCAAAATATAAGATTTTGTTTCTTATCATACAAACATTCTGTATATGTTTCCTTCTTAGAAGAGTTTATTCACAATTAACCTGGAATTGCAGGTGTGGTGCTACAGAACGCTTCTGCATCTAGCACTTACTCCAGCCATGAGATATTACAAATTCTTCCCTTGTGAAGACACAGGACAAGGACTTATTAATAACTCAGCATATGCTGATCTCAGCAGAAATCCCATCAGAGCTCCATATCTAAGCCTTGGGAAATCTCAGACTGATTTCTGACCTAAGTTTAGAATTTTGTTTAATTTCTAATATTTCCAATAGTTACTACTTCTATATATCACCTAAATTCCCGCCTAGGTTACCAAAGGTAGGACAGCATAAAAACCACTCCATTATAATAGAGCATTTGGCTGTATGGCAACTGCACTGTAATAACATTAAGAGAAGAAAAGGTCAATGCTATCTTGCTTCACCCCATTCCAAAGCTAATGTTTGTAATTCAGGGTTCTGTAAGTTTCTAAACACTTGAAAGTTATTTTTAACTTCTTTGGTCCTGAAAACTGCAACAAAAACTCAGTAGCAAACTCTAAAGCCCTAAAGAAATACAAACTCAAGGAATAAAACTAAGTGGTAGAACAGTATCTGTCACAGTGCTGACTGATCAATCACAATGTGGACATTACTGGAAACACTTTTGCTTTGTGAATGTTTCTATTGATAAGAATATAGCAATTTCTACTTTAATCCATAAGATGTAGCTAAAGTTTATGAAAATGACTAATTAAGGATCACTATATACTTGACACTTCCCCACACCATGTTCTCTGAGCCTGTTACACGTGGCTGTTTATATACAGCACTTCACATTTTACAATGTATTAATTATAGATTTGCCCAAATAAGAAGCTTTTAACCTGAAAAATGGCTTGATTTTGGAAAGTTGATGCCTTAACACAAGTTTGCCATCCTAGATCCATGCACCTTGCAGCGAGTCTTACAAAGCCAGATTGAGGAGAAGATACAGATGAGAAAAATACACACACTTAGCAATTTAAATGACTTCATATCAGTTACAAACAAATTTGAGGTTTCCTTACAAAGACACTCAGGGAACTGTCTTAACATTTTTAGCAAAGACTGAAGTCACCATTTCTGCTGATTATGTGGTCTCTACTCAGAAATACTTTACACCCAAGAGGATCAGCCCGCTGGGTGTCACTGTTGCCAAGTTAAGATACAGGATGAAGCTTCAGCAAGAAATGTAAATAAACTCTTTTACGTCGAATCACAGCTTTCTTAAAACAGCCTAGCATAACCCCAACTTACTACAATAGTATTCCTTTTTCACAATTCTAGTAAATTCATCAAGTGTTATGTATTTATAATGCAAGAAGAAATCTACTACTTCTCTGCCAGATGAAAATGCCAAAGATGAGGTTTGAGGAGGATATGCAACTAATTAAATCAACTGGAATTCCAGAATTTCTAAGCATCACCAGAACTCTTTTTTCCTTTAATTTGCCTATGGATTATTTTTGTTTATTAATTTTTAGAGTATGCAGATTCTTTAAAAAAATGAATAATAAATAGCTGTTACAGCAAGAAAGGCAACTAATCAGAATAAATTTGATATACAAATTTCGGTTTTTGAAAATCTTGTAAAGTCTGCAGTGCAAAGGTCTGCAAAAAACCATAATTTTGGGTGGCATTTACAATTCCAATTCTTACAAAAGTAACATTTCTATAGCAGTGAAAAATTCAAATATACCTGTTCAGAGCAAACACTTATGGGCTCTCTCAGAACAATCCAAATGACGCTCTCAAGAAGAGGTGGAACAGTGAGAGAGCCAAAGTAAGTCCAGTAGTCCAGGGACTTGGGAAGCAGACAGCTGGGATCAAAGTTTGTGAATAGTGCTTTTTTTCCCTAGAAATAAATAAAAGAAAATAAAATACCAGGGCAATATTATTTAAAAGCAAGAGGCCAAGGTAAATCATGCCAAAGGAGGTAGAGCTTGCTCTCCTAGCAGGTGGGCTGGCAGCACCTGGGTGATAACAGGAGGTCCTCATCACTGCCCTTCTGATGAGGTCTTACCTCAGTGACAGCTTTGCTGTGACTTTCCTCAATGCCAGCAGGACACCATGAAAGGTGTCATATTAGCACAGGCTCCCCAAAGTTACAGATCACCATGACATGGAAGTTGTGGGGAGAAGACAGAAGATGTTAGACTTGCAGCACGGTCTCTGTGGGGCTGGCAGAGTTACCCCACAGGTTACTGCCAATTGCTTCCCTCCCCACTCACTCCTCCCAGGAGTTCTTGTTCTCCCTGTATTGGCTGACAGGCCAGAGATATGTGTCTGAAACATCATGCTGAGTTTGGCTGATTTCTCTCACACAGTGGGTTATTTCTCACCCTGTACCTCAGCAAAACAGGGAAGGAAGTCTTTCCCTCATCTTTTTTACATGGTTCCATAAAGTATGTTTTTCCCCTGCTACTAGCCTCATAGCAACAGATTTATCAGAGACTGGGTTCTGTGAGGAACAAGCCTTCTCCTCTGATCTTTTACTGTGTAAAAATTATTTTTTGTCTAGTTTTCAAATTAAACAGAATGCACATAAACTCTCTCAAATCAGGTATCAATTGCTAGGAATAAGGAAACATGTAGGTGCAGGGAGTAGCAGGCAGATTTCAAAAAATAAAAAAACCCCAACAAAAGCCAGCACCAATATTGGCTAGTATTCTTTCAGAAGGACTTGTTCACCTTGATTCTGATGGTGTCCAAGCGGTCAGTAATCTTGTTCAGCTGAGGGTTGCATTCACCAATCTATTGACACCAAATAAAAAAAGAAACACTGGAGCTCCAGAGAAAAGCAACAAAAATTAATGATAAGCAAATGCATAATGAAACTGCTTTATATAACTGAAGTGGCTGTAAGATCTGATGTACTTTTTGAGTACAAGGCTTTGACTAGCAGGTCCTTAGAAATAATACTGGTCATAAAGAAGATTCACTCCCTTGCTGATAGTATTCTGGATAGTAATTGTAATTATTTCAGCTACAAAAGAATTACAAACTTTTCATTACAGGGGAATAGAAACAATTTCTCTTTCATGTTTTAATATGTGGGATATTAAAAGTTACAGACTAACATGAAATTTACAGAAATTTAAACTGCTTATAACATTGGAAACACCGTTCTTATGTAAGAACATTCCAAACAGAATTTGTGTGCTAAGAAATCCAGTTTTCCTTGAAATCCCATTTCCCTTGAGTCATTGTAATGCAAACTGGAAAGACAGAATTACTGAACTGCTGAAGCAGTTCTTTGCTGCATGGAATGGCTCTCTGACTGCACCAGCACCACTACTAGCTGTTCTCAGGAAGCTTTGTCAGCCACCAGAAACCACAGAATTGACCAAAGACTTATCTTTTGCTATAGACTGTATGAATTCCCCATCTTCTTCTTCATACAGAAGTCAGTGAAGCTGTTGCATGAATTTAATCTTAGAACAGGCGCAGAAGGCAAAAAGGTCTAAAATAATTATTAAGAAATTCTCCAGTTTCTGGTTTTGTATTTTAAAATAATTGTTATTTTCCAGAAGGAACTGCCAGCTGAGAAAGAAGCCATTACAGAAACCTTTAAATCAAGCTGTCCCCCTAAAGGAACATGCTAATCAAGTACAAGTTACTGGGATCCAAACAGAAGCAGCTGAATTAATGGCATTCCACATCTAATGTTGTATGGGCTTGCAGACTAGGCAAACTGAAGAGTTTGACTGTCTTGAAAAATCCGCAACTAAATACTAGGAAGGAAATAAGTTTAAAATAAGAGTCTCTTTGGCAATAATTACACCAAACATCACCATTATCTCTTTAGTCTTATAATGCAGATTTATTATGAGGGCTGAAGCATTCTCATCTTACCTTCAGAAATACAGCCATGACTGCTAGTCCATCTGACTGAGAAGCTGCCTCAACAAAACTGGAATACTTCTCTGCATTCCAATGGACCACATGAAGCTGAAAAGCAAGAGACACAGACAGCATCAACTCTTGCTGAACTCAAGGAGTGGCAAATGAATATTACAACTTTACTGGGTTTGAAAATCTATTTCGTTCTTTTGTATGAAGAATCATTCAGTGTTCTAAATGCAGATATTTCATGAAATGAGTAAATATGTACTTCACACAAATGACAAAAGCATTCCCAGTGTCTGTGATTATTAAAAATTTACCAGAAATCAGTACACCACAGTGCCTGTCAAATTGCTGTTGGGTCCCCAGATTTTGAACTGAGAAGTTAAGACAAAAAAAATCCAATGGTTATATAACTAGAGGTTTTAAATCCATTTTTAGTACAGCTGATTTTAAAAAGTGATTGAAATTCATGAGGATGTCATTTGTATTTTACTCCTCTTTTTCTTTAATCAAGCTTTCAGCAACATTAATCATCCACATAAATAGCTAGAAAACAGGCAAATACACACTAAACTTGCACTGACCCCTTTTCCCTTGTTTAGCTTAGGGGAACATCAGCATTTCATTTTTGACACTTTTCAAATATTATTTTCTATGACTACCAGTAGTGATACTCTTACAAGCAGCTTGATTATCTCAGTTTTGAGCACTTGCATTTCCAACATGCATTATTCTGGAAGTGTCCTGTCATATTTGCTTAAGAAGTTTAAAGACACTACCCAGCTGGGAGGGAAGAGGAAAAGCCTGTGATGTCTATTTCCATGCCACATAAGTATCTCCTGTTAAATCAGATTTCCTAATTTCTGACCACACTTCATGACAGGAGCTCCTGGTTCCCAGGAAGTGCCAGGCTGTTCCAGCCTTGAGCAATGGTCTGACTACCAAACTGGAGAGAGCATCCTCACACAGAACTTTAAGTACTTCACAAACATTAATTACTTTCAGAAATCCTCAATGGATTAGCAAATCTTATTACACAGTTTTTAGTTAAAGATGCTCAGAAGTAGGGTGTGAGATTGGCTTTTCTAAAATTGGTGACCATCATTTCAGATGTTGAACTTCAAGAATGCTGAAAAGCAACTCATTGAATGACTTAAACTGGGATGAACCCATGAAAAATAAGGCTTCCTTTTGGAATACAGCACCTACAAGACAAGTAAGAATAATTTGGGAAAGCTGAAACCTGCTTTAAAGGATTTCTGTGTGAAGTAACATAGCTGCATGGTTGAAATAGGGCTCTAGAAGTATGAAGATTTTTATTCTAAATATCATTCCTTGCTTAACCACTGTGACTTTCAATTTTCTATATCTATAAAATAGAACTCTTACTTGGTCTTACTTGATATCAATGTTTGTTAAGCATTTGGGTTCTAAAGTGCTGACACATTATTTGCAGCAAGTAAGGAATCCCATTGCTGTCTATAATAATTCATGTACAACCATGATGACACACATGCTGGCTCACAGCTTTAGAAATCCTTGAAGGAAAGTTGCAAAGAATATTATACATTAAACCAGGAGGAGAATATAGTCCACTAAACCTTTGTCAAGTGCATTAATATTCTGGGGCTCATAGTGTCTGCACTGCTCCTTATTATAAATTCACAGAACCTATGTTGAACAACTTTTAAACTATAACATTTTTACATACACAAAAAGGAAACAGATACCCTCAGTCAGAAATTAATTTTATTGTGGATTTAAAAAAAACCAAAACACCAAAAACAACCCAACAAAGAACAAAAAGGAAAATTCCCACAGCTACTAAAAGCTCATTCCCACTCCCTCATAGCTTTGCCAAAAAAACCCCAATAATGTAACCCTCCCAAAACCAAAACCCCCAAACAGAGTGTGAAACAGTTTTGGGTACAGACCCGTTCTCAATGGCTTGTGACTTCTCTCTAAGGAATATATCCTGTCTTACCACCACTGTGTCACTGCAGCTTGTGAAGAGACCTTGATCAGACAGTATGTTGTCACAGAGAATGGAGCCATGGATCCCTTCTGCTTCCTGGTAGGCTTAAGGGCCAAACCTTGCCGTCTTCTTTACCTGTACATTAATTCTTTCTGCAATTCAGTTGATGCTTTTTCTTGAAACCTTGCACATCTTCCTTTCAAAGGTGAGCACTGAAACCATCTTCATGTCTCCTTCTGAGGTATCTTCTTTTGTGTGAACAATATTCAGAAGCCTTGATTTAAATTCTGAGTTTCTTATCCCAAAGCCAAAGTGACATCTAGAGAGCTTCTTGTGGAGGGTTACCCAACCAACAGGTAACAGAAAGGCTTTTAGACTGGCTAGAAATTCAGAGATATTTTCTCCTTCCATTTGGTTTCTTAGATGGGAAACATATATTTTCTCAGCTAGAAATTTGGGGTTGGTACTTAATGGTTTTAAAGCACCTCTATTAATTCTTTATATTCCATCTCACCTGGTTCCTGTGGAAAACATAAGCCTTTAAACACTGCAAATGTCACTTTTCCCCATTAGTGTTAGAAAACCGATTTTTTTTTCCTGACCAGTATCTCTTATAGAATTTCCAGTAAAATCTGATCACACCACAGTGCATACATTACATATTTTTCTTCTGTAGTATTATGCCCTTTATTTGTCCATTTATTTTTACACCTTTTACTTTTTTAACCCCAGAGAACTCTGACACTGTCTGAATCATACGTTTTTAAAGATCTCAATCTGCTGAAAATATTCCATGTTACTCCATTTGCAAAGAGGAATCTCATACTGAGAACTTTCTCCTGCAGATTACTCAAATCCCAAGGAGACAGAGCAGGAGTGAATGCTCCATGCCAGAGTAGATGGTGCACTTCTCCCTGTGACACACCACCTCCACTGAAGCGCAGTACCCCACAGACAGCAGCCACCCCACAGACAGCAGGCATCCCACAGATATTAAAGCATGGTTCTCAAAGTCATAACCACCACTTTGTTAAGTGCACCACAAAATGTAACTCTCCTATGTCTTTACAAAAACTTTACACTATATAGGCCCCAAATCCACTAATTCTGTGGTTTGTCATTGAAGATGATTTTAGAAATGTTCTCCAGGGAAGAAACAATGAAAGAAAAAGTTTAAAATAACTCTTGAACATTAAGTCTTGCTCTTATCAAGCTCTTGTCTTCTGTAGTCCTTTTTTAATCCTCTCCAAAGCTTTCAAAGAGGTTCTCCTTTGAGAAAGGACCAAACATGCAACACTTCAGGAAGACCGCTTGTCTTTCGATAAAATGAGGGGAAGATGAAAAGCAAGAAGAGGAAGGGCAACATCATTCTTGCAATGGAAAACTAGCCACAAACTTCTAGGTACAGATGACTCCATGTAGAGCCTTACCTCTGCCGCATACTTCATCCCGTCCACCGTGTGCTCAGAGCCGGCCTCATCATTGGACCCCCAGTGGAAGTGAATCTGGCGCAGCCTGTAGGTCCCGCTGAGCGGCCCCCCAGTCAGCACTGGAAACCCAAGCAGAGGAGAAGACTTCACTGAGAGAACAGGAGACTCTACCCACATCCTCTAACCTCACACCAGACTTCAGTGTTTGGACACTCCTCTGCTCCTGCTCATAAGTTGTCTCAGACGGTTTCCCATTTCTTGGAAGTACTACGGAAACCCTCACCTGTTGAGAATATGACTATGAAAATTGCATTTAGGGGCAGGTTAGTGGGTTATGGCCCACTAAATGATATGCTGTTATTGTCAATGTTGGATATTTCTCAGAGAATGGGAAAATACTTCTATTTTACAACACTCTAGAGTTTCCTCTCTTGATTATATTCAAAAGAATCACTAAGAAATTAAGCTCAAAATAGAGGTTTTATAAATAAGGAACAGGATCATAAAAATGTGGTGTCAAGAGAATTTATTTTCCTCTTTGAAATTTGGGGGAAAATAGTCAGAGCTTAAATTTTCAGGGCTCTTTCCTTTATTTGAAACTAGATTTGAAACTATGTCAGATTGAAGTCTGAGGAAAAGGATCTTATTTTAACATAAATAAAATTAAGCCAATGCTACATATGCATTGTACAACTGCATTATTACTGACAATTAGCCAGGGCTGGAAAGCATGTCCTGTGAGGAACAGCTACATACTTTGGGTTTGTCTAGTTTGGAGAAAAGGAGACTGAGGGGTGTCCTCACTGCTCTCTACTTCTGAGGAGGGAAAGCAGAAAGGGAGCTTCTGGTCTCTTCTCTCAAGTATCCAGTGACAGGACTCATGGATAAGGCTCAAAGCTGTCCTAGGGAAGATGTAAACTGGATTCTAGGAAGCATTTCTTTACCATGATGGTAGTCAAACATTGCTTCCTAGAGAGGTTGTCAAAGCCTCAGGCTTATCAGAGTTTGAGAAGCATTTGGACAATGCCCTTAACAATATGCTTTAACTTTTGTCTAGCCCTGAACTGCTCAGGCAGTTGGACAAGATGATCGCTGCAGGTCCCTTCCAACTGAAAGAGTCTATCTACTCTATTCTATTATTTTTGTTTATATTCTCTTCTGTTCTAATTCTGTTCAAAAAAGCATTCATATGGGTGGGCTTTTCATTATTTTGCCTTTGCAAGTGCTGGTAATTTTCTTGTCAGAATCAAAATATCTCTTCACAGAGCTTTGAATGTGAATTACACTCAGAAAGATTCCTTATTCACAGCAAAACAAATCATTCCACTCGCCCAGCTCCATATGTCCTCTGAGTGTTTGGGAATCAGTCTGGAATAGTTTACTGTCTCATTATAGAAATTTTAAGGGGAAATAAGGGGTCATTTAACCATACGTTTTTTAAATTAAGAGCAGTAGGGATGACAACTGCATTTTTTTCTCTCTTCTAGGTTTAGTCCAAAACCCAAACTTTCTTAGGAAGAAAATACACCAAATAAAGATGAAAGAAGAATTTTTAAGTTGCCTATTTCCTAACACAAGTAGCTTGGATAATGAAAAGAAACTGGGACTGTTTGTTCTAGGAAAAAAATATTTAACTTCCTTAAAGCTTCAACTTAAGAACATACATTTACACAGCCTATAAACTTAGCAAACAGAGGAGATGGGGCACTGGCACTTTTAAATTCCTTCTTTTAAGGACTGTAAACTTGGATGTAAATGATCCTAGAAAAGTGTAAGGATCGGTGTTCAAACTGGCTGAGAAAAAAAGTATTATGTAGAAATGCATCAGCATGAAATTCTTATACTGAAAAAATGTGGGAAATCGCCTGTTGATGTATTTGTGCCACATCACACAGTAATGGTAAAATCCTTTCATTACAATAGTAATTAAGGAAAAGGGTAGTCAAAAGTTTTTAAGGCAAATATCAATTATCTCGAATTTTGAAAAATGCTGGAAGAAGATCAATAGAACAATTTCAAAGAATGGAGCTAATGTGGTACCAGAAAGCATAAACAAACTTACACAAACAGTTACAGACTTGACAGCCCAGTTCCAGTGCTGACCAAAGTGAGGAAATAGTTCATATGGGAGTCAGTTAATAGTGCATTAGAAGATGCTAATGTATTTAGTACCAATTAATTTGATTTTTTTCAAGAAACCAACACATGGCAGAAGTTCTTACTTCACAGAGGTGCCCCAGAAGCCAAATTTGGGCCCTAGAAAATTCAGTATTTTTTGAACAATGACCTGAAAGAAAACAAAAACAACACTGATAAAGTTTGCCAGTGATAAATATCAGGGAAAATAGTGAATTTCTCATTTTATGGTTGTGGATTGAAGAATCTACTCCATGCACAGAAGACATGGGGTCTACCGAAGGACACTGGGGATTCCATCTATTAGTTATCTGATCAACGTCTGACAGTGCTTTGCCATGATATGAACTATATTCTTGGAGATACGGCCTGAGGAAAGCAGTGTGAGGAGGATCACGCCACTGTTGCTTTGGTACCAGGGGAAGCCTAGAGAAACACTGTGTTCAGGCCCTGTCACTTCACAGATGGATTCAAGAGAGTGGAAGAGGTTCTCGGTGTATTCACATTCATTACCTGTTTTTCTTTTAAACTGTGAGGGTAATTAACAATTAGAACAACTTACCAAAGGTTGTGGTAGGTTCACCATCGCTGGAAAATTTGAAATCAAGAGTGTATATTTTTCTAAGAGATGTGCTTTAGTTCACCAGCATCTACTAGGCTCGAAGCAGGAATTAATTCTGGGAAGTTCCGTGGCATCTGACACAAGGTCAGACCGATCATTGACGGTCAGCTGGTGGCTTTCATGCAACATCAAATATTGACAGAAAGTTTAAAACTAAGACTGTTCAGGAAACAAAAACATGACAGTGTGTCCACCTATGTCTCTCCCTATTGTCACTAGTAAGTCCTCAGGACTAACGGGTCATCAAAAATTAGTGTTGCTCAGGCTTTGATTCTTGTGAAAGCATCATATGGTCTTGGATCCTCAGCTAAGCCTCACACAGCCACAAAATGATTTTATTGCTTGAAGATTCTGCACTCCTACAGCTTCAAAGGAAGGCATGCTGGCTTGCCCAAAATCCAAGAGAAGGTTTCAAAGATGAAGGCACTAACAATTCAAAGACTATGATAAACCAGAGAACTTCTAAATAAGAATTATTGTTTTCAAAAAGGGAAGCTACATACCCGTGGAAAAGACTGGGGCAATAATACTTTTCAGAGAAGAAAAGGGATTACTTGGGATCTATTTCAGTTGTTCCATATTGGCTCTTACTTGACATAAGAAGTCTGAGTATAGGTTGCAAAAAGGGGAAAAACATATAACCAAACCTGCAGCTAAATTCAGGTTAGAGATTTGAGCGATCGGTTGGAATGAACCTGTAATGAGACATAAAGGATTCATCTGCAGTGAGAGAGAGAGACAGCAGCATTTGAAAAACTGTACACAACACTGTTCAGACAAGGGGCTGGCACTCTCCAGCTATTGGGGGTGGATCAAACCACTCCTGTGAGTATGGAATCCCAGCACTTTCTGAGAAACACAACCTTGAATTTGTGTCCAAATATGTTCCCACACTGTATCATGCTGAAAGACAGGGAAAAAGGAATCTCTCATCCAGAACAGCAAAGCCTTACTGTTTATAAGGAGTTCATACCCAGCAGTGAGACATGCCCAGGCTGCAGGCATTCTATTTAGGAATTGGTGGAGGAAGTTACAGCACAAGAGTAAAGGAACAAACCTGATTTGTTGACGGTGTCATCAAACTCCACACTGGTGGAGTGCCCGTTGTTAAGGATGATTTTAGCAGAAGCTGGATCATAACTGGGATTTAGAGGACGGAGGGAAGGATCATACTTGGTTTCCTCAGTTTTGATGTCGATGGGTGACTGACGGTCTCCATTAGCAACAGGAAAAACCTCCTTCCAGTGGGCAGGCCCTACAATGGATTGGAGAAGTCTAAATTTCTGACAGCATTCTCATTCTTATGAAAGAAAACTCTGCTTGAATTGTCCTCATCTGCACTTTTAAATTCAAAAAGGATGCATTAGGAAAAACACAAATCAAAATATCCAGCTACTTTTGCTGCATCACATTGCAATAGCATTCCTCAGGACCCCTTCATGTACCTTGCATGCACTTTTAAACAAGGCCACATGTAGTATGTACTTAATTATTCTCAGGTAAGACACAGCTATGCACAAGACACCTACAACAAATGCTCATTCAAATCAGGCATCCTGTATCCAACAGGCACTATGTCCCAATAAATTTTTGGCATACCATTTTTGCCTAATGTCATGGCTCATTGTGTCTTTTAAGGATTACCTCTTTTCTATGCAAATCCCCGCATTAAAATTTTTTTATGCCTTAGTCAGTTGCTGCAAAAGACCTGAGAACACGTCTTCCACTGATCACTCTGAATGAGATGGGGAGATGTCAAAAAAAGGCAATTGATGATGTCAGAAAATGCTGAGTGGCTCCTGGAGCCTGATGGCAGTGCCTGGAATCTAAACACTGCTGCACCTCTGATCACCTCCTCCCAGCCCACCAGCTGTGCACACCAGCTGTGACAACAAGGAGAGACTGTCACCCTCTAATCATGAAGTGTCCATACACACAGGCACACCTACACACACACACACACACACTAGTGTAGCATTGAAAAAAATCAAAGAACAGGAACACTCATGATAATGCCTACATGAGGTTTGGATTTCTACTGCCTTCAACTGATGAGAGTAGATCTTCCAGACACAGATGCAGCACCATTCACCAGACTTAAGTGGAAATTATAGGACTAAAGAAGCTGTTAATCAATACTAGTCATCTCAACCTTCCTCTCTCCAAACAGGCTAAGCCAAATGTCACCTGAAGAGCTAATAAATCAATAATATGGATATGAGAAAATGGCAAATGACATCCTAAAATAGTAAAAAAAGCTTCATTGTTAAGATGTGTGAGTTATCTGTTGTTACTTACTAAACATCAGAGAGTTCCCTATAATTCACAATAAGAATATATGTGCCATTGTTTAATCATATTTGGATAAGAGGGTAAAGAAAAAATATGAACAATAAGTTCCCTGAGGAATATATTCTATAAAGACAGAAAACAAGGTTTAGGATGGAAAGGAGGGGAAAGTAAGGGGAAAGAAGAAAGGAAAAAGACAAGGGTAAAAGGTGAAAATCTGCAGGGCAAAGGATCTTTCAGTATTAAGAAGAGCACAGCACTTGTTTTTCCTCCAGGCTTATAATGAGTAAGAAGCATAATAAATCTATTGAGAGACTGGATATAAGAAAAACTTAATATGAGCATCAGAACCTGGTCCAATAAAATTTGCATCACAGGAAATTCTCATAACTAACTCCCTATACTGAAGATAACTGACCTCAGTGTAAAAATTGTGTTTGGGTCTTTCTGGATGGCTTAGCACTTATATAAAAATGACAACAAAAAAGAATGAAAACATATGATGCAGTGGTTAATAGCCTAACATCAAAAGCTGTTAGAGATATTTTTCTTTCCTTGACTTCAACAGAAGAGAGCAGAGCTCAGAAACTCACAGGTGCTAAAAGCACCCATGCAGCCCTGCAGTAAATCAGGGAGGAAGCGCCCACAGCGCCAGGGGGCCACAGTTTGCACAGCACCTGGGCAGAGAATGATCCTCCTCTGAGCAGCACTAAAAAACAGAACTGGGAAAAACTTGTAAAGAATGAACTAAGACTTAAGCCTCAGAACAAAGACAAAAGCCTTCAGTCTTGATCTGTTAAAAATTTAATTACTCCATTAACTAAACTCAATAAAGAAATGGATTCTAAAGCAGAAGATAAAAATCTGACTGGTTTGAAACATAAAACTGTTTAAACTTAATTCCTCTCAGTTCATGAACAGTCACAAAGCCATTCAATATTCTAATTACATACAGTTTAGAATATAATTTTAATAGTGTTTAGATCCTACTACCCTGTACTTAGGGATGCAACACAAAATTTTGTTTGTAAGGAGCATCACTCCATAATTTATACCATGATTTGGAATGCTTAGAATAAGCTTATTTTTTATTTTAATAATTAGTTATTGCTTAATTTTAATATTTCTGATACTCCTTAACTGATAAAAGGCAAAAATACATTTATGCACTTAACTACTTGGTCTCCTATTGCTCTGACTCAGAAATAACCATAGTTATTTGAATTATATAATATGGATGACTTGTATTCAGAAATAATACAAAGTTGCCAAAAAGAGAACCCAAGACTATGATTCTGTCACTGTCTAATTGTTTAACAGTAATATTCAGTCCTAAAAAGACATTATTACTGGTTTGGCATTTGTTCTTGGCTCAGATGACCAAAATACTGTTTTGCTATGGTGACTAAACATATACTAGTAAACAAACTACCAGACATCTGACCTTTCAAAATATACAACAAAATACCAAGAAACTTCAGCTCATTTTGTACCAATAGGTTATATCAAGAAGTATTCCTTACTAGGTAATCTACCAGCAATCTAGTACAACTATCATGCTTTTGCCACTCCAGAAAAACTGACTCAATTTCTACAGACTCTAGCCCAGTGCAAACCTGTATATGATTGTTGTAAAAAAAAAATCATTGTTGAAAGAGATGCTCAAATGCATGTCATACGATCAGATTTAAGTCAGTGGGATTTCCAGGGTGAAAATTTCTTCTGAATTCAGATCTGAATTAGATGCTTCCATATTAAAATAATGTACACTTCAGTTTTCTAAATATGCACTTTAAGACATATCTAGGGAGTATAACTCATTAATTCACCTACCTACATTTTTTCCTTTACTGAATGAAAGTGATTAATATACCTATTTTTGAACTTATGAAATCCTCTCCTGCTGTTGGGAAAATGTTCTCTTGCTAGAGGCAACTTTCTAGTAGCTCTTAACAATCAAAGCTATTGTAACTGAGATTTATGACAAAAAAAATGAACCATCTGTTCTGAAGATTTCATGCCTTTATTTTGCACACAGCATTATCACAGGCAAGGAATTGCCTGACACTTTTAGGTCAGACTATTGCTGCACATACCACTCACCAGCATTGCACACAGCCAGTTCATGAAACAAATCTCACAATGAAGGCAGTTTGGAATTTAGCAGGAAACAGAACTCACTATAGCACCTCACAGTGTTGCATCTTGATCCAGCTGAAGACCACAAATTTCATCAACAGGTTAACCTGAGACAAACAAGACACTACAGGATACAGCTGGGTTCCAGTGAGCCTCTATGCATGCATAAATGGAGCATGTACAGGTGAAAAAGGATTTAGGTTGGTTTGGGGTTTTTTTCCACAGTTTGTTATTATATACAGAAAATTCACTATTTTAATATGGTCAAACCTTGACAGGATCACATTCTCATTTATTTCTTAAGATAGTCTATTGCCTAGTTCATCAAACACACAGTGCTTAAATTTATAAACATAGATTTGCAAGTGATTTTATTGCATATTAGGTTACATAAGATGAGCTCAAACAAAATAAATTAAAAATTCATGATGGATAAAATTAAGCACATTTTTTAAAGCAGATATTGAAATAATGTAGTTATTCTCAGAAAGAAAAAATGTATAAGGAGTTATGGCTCAACAGAAGTATCTTAAAGATCCTTTTCAATGAAAATGATTCTGTGAATTAATATCCCTTTTATCTATAAAATGCCTCAGCATTACAGTAGTAACTAGACCAAGAGAAATTTTTGCAGTAAAAGACAATACATGTAAATAATTACCACATATTTCATTAAACAAATAGTAAACTGAAGGCAATTGATTTCCCACTGAGGTCCCTTCCAACCTTACTAATTCTGTGATTTGCCTTTTAACTAAAGCAATTCCCTTTTAAATGAAAAAGGACTCAAGGGGTGAAAACATTCTTGTCCTGACAGGAACCTTAAGATGCAGTGAAAAGCATGCATGATGCCACACTGAAGCCAGTTTTCAAGATTTCAGTATTATGCCTCTACAGATAAGCAACATCAAAACTGTGACATAAGAAAAGCAGCAAGAAAGCAAAGGCCAGGGTTTTCACAGAAATAAAATAATTCCTTCATGCATTTCAGAAATATGTGCATCAGAGTAACTGAGAACTTCTGCACTAGGTTTGTGTGACAAGAGACTGGTAGCAGGGAGGCTGCAGGTGTGGCTTCTGTGAGAAGCTGCTGAAGCTTTCCCTATGTCCAATAGGGCCAGTGCCAGCTGGCTCCAGGATGAACCCACTGCTGGACAAGGCTGGGACCACCAGGGACAGTGCTAGCACCTATGGGAGGAGATTTAAGACAGGGAAAAAGTTCCTGTGCAACGGCAGCCAAAAGAGAGGAGTGAGAATATGTGAGAGAAACAGCTCTGCAGACACCAAAAGGAAGGGGAGGACCTGCTCCAGGAGCCAGAGGAGAGATTCCCTGCACCATAGTGAAGACCATGGTGAGGCAGGTGTGCCCTGCATGGAGGTTCACAGTGAAGCAGAGATCGACCTGCAGCCCATGGAGGGTTACAGCTGGAGAAGGTGGATGTGTGTCTTGAAGGAAGCTGTGTCCTCATGGACAGCCTACACTGGAACAGGCTGCTGGCAGGACCCCGAGGAAAGCCCAAGCTAGAGCAGGTTTGCTGGCAGGACTTGGGACCCTTGGGGAATCCATGCTGGAGCAGTCTGTGAAAAACTGCAGCCTGTGGGAGCACTCACACTGGAGAAATTCATGGAGGGCTGTCTCCATGGGAGGGATCCCATGCTGGAGCAAGGGCAGAGTGTGAGAAATCCTCCCACTGAAGAGAAGG